ACCACACACACGTGTACACACATGCAACCACAAGTACACACACCAGATACACTGAGTTTCTCCAGTAGGGGGCACCCAGTCCTAAAGAGCCCTCTCAATCACAGGATGTCTAAGAATGGTAAAGCCACTGTTTCTCAAATAATATCCAGACTCCTTTTAAAGGAAAGAAATCTGAAAGATTCCCCAACAACATATCTGCAAGTTCCCAATTTGAGAAAGGAAAACAAAAAAACCAAAGACTTGTTCTATAAAGATCTTCCAATTGCAAGTCAACACGTTTAAAACTGCTAAAAAGATTTGTCATCATTAAAATGAAAATGTGAATTTAAAAAATTTTTCCAGAATTAAAAGACCCAGAGGAACACAGCTGCAGACCCCTGGGGCGGGGTAGGGAATTAAGCAAGTCTGGTCTAAGGCATCACCATGTAGCAGATATACAATTTAACGTCTTTCCACACACATGAGTAAAGTAAGCCTTTCTCCCTCTGTTCTTTCTTCTGTTTCTGCCTCTCCTGGTTCAGCAGGTCCGGGCTCCAGGCAACAAAACGTGATCCTCTCCCCTTTTAGCTTGTTCCTTAATCCCTTTGAGCTTTTCGAGTAAAAAATATTTTTGATTTTTATAGGTAAATTTGAAAAATCATTATAAAAGTAGACCATTTAGAAAATACAGAATTTTTTTTACAAAATGTAAAGCTACCCCCTCACCCTAAGAGATAATATCCCTTTAAGTTGTGATGGGCTTTCTTCTTGCCTTTTTCTTTGCTTGAGTATTTTCCAGTAAATACCCAGCAAGGGCCAGTGCAGTCACACAGCACACCATTTCCCTGGGGGCCCCTGGGCCCCAGCCTGACCCAGGAGCTCCATCTCACCTCTCAGAGGCTGGAGTTGTGGCCAGGTTGGCCTGGGAGAGGCTCTGTCCTAGTCACCTGCAGTGCTCTCCCAGGAGCACTGTTTGTTCTTTTCTGGAGAGTCCCTAGGTTAGAGGAGACTAGAATGGGAGAGAGGGGTACTCAGACCCTCTCAGCCTAGTTCTCTCTCCTGCCTGCTCAGGGCCCAGCTCTGTGGTTCAGGGTCCAGAAGCACGCCCTTGGGCCAGAACATTTCCCTTCCTGGTCAGCAGCCCAGTGGGTGACTAGGGCTGGAAGGCACAGAAGGAGGATCCCCACCAGGCTGTGTGACCTCGGATAGACCCACAGCCTCTCTGGGACCCGCACCCCACCTGAAGCCTGTGTTGGTGGTGGTTCTCTGCTTCATTAGGAGTCCAGGAGAATGAACAGGCTTGAAGGGTTTCTCCAGAATGCCCCGCCCTCTCCTTCACTCAGAGCCATATTCCCAGGCATGCCTCTGATGGCTCTCCCACCTTCTCTGGCTCCATCCCCATGTTCCCTCACACAGGTAATCCTGTCTCATAGGACCCGGACTAACACGCTAATTAGGTAAAATACAAATAATAAATAAGACCCAGGTTTCTGTCTGTTGCTACCTCTTCAGAAGTATAGATGCACAAATAGTTATGAAACTTGCAGGACATATTTAGGACAGTCTGACTTAAAATACAGGCGAAGTAACCTATACAAAATTTATTTTGCAGGTCCCAGGGGTATCTCAAACAGCTGGACTGTGATCCTTCAGGGAAGCTGGAAAAAAAACACAGTGAGAGGTGCCGGCCTGGTGGCGTAGTGGTTAAGTGCGCGGGCTCCGCTTTGGCGGCCCGGGGTTCGCAGGTTTGGATCCCAGGCGTGCACTGACGCACCGTTTGTCAAGCCATGCTGTGGCGGGGTCCCATATAAAGTAGAGGAAGATGGGCACGGCTGTTAGCTCAGGGCTGATCTTCCTCACCAAAAAAAAAAAAAAGACACAGTGAGAGACCCATGTCACGAGTGTTAAGAGAGGGAACAGACATGCCTCAAATGGAAGGTCACATGGGCAGCCTGAGCTGCCTCTCCCGCAGGCAACCCCGGTGCTCCTGGGTGCATAGCGGCACCCAGTGGTTAGTTAACAGTGGTTCACAGTTCTCCCAAGGAACACCAAGCAGGCCAGCCAGCATGTGTCTGTGTGGGCCCTGGAACAAGTCTGGAAGGACACACACTGAAGCAACCACAGGGAGACTCTCTGGGAGTTGCAGTGAGGGGAACACTTTCACATTTTCTATTTTTTAATTTTTCATAATGGTGTGTTTAATCAGAAAAAATGGAGATATTTCCATTTTCTAAAAGTTCTTTGAGAATATGGAAACAAGCGTGATCAGTGCAGCTGCAGTAGCCCAGGCAAGCTCCATGGAGATGGGACGGCTGGAGCTGGGCCTCTGAGGATGGGAAGGATTCAGAAGGACGCTTACCGCACGTGCTCTAGAGGGTTGGCAGGAAGTTGTGTTCATGACCATGAGGGCCCAGGGTCTGAGGAAACGACAACAGTGTTGAGGCATGAATTTAACTAAGGACGCCACTTGGAGTCCAGGAAGCCTGCTGGTCCAGGCTGGATGGAGCAGAGTCAGTGGGGTCAAGGCCATCCCAGATCCTGAGGTTTTCCTTTTCTCAGGGGTAACCCTGGGCTGAGAGCGAGGGAGACAAAGAGATGAAGATTGAGGCCCGAGTAGTCGGGGTCTGGATACCTCACCGGCCCCCAGCCCATGCTAGGGCCCAAGGCCCACTGATCTGTGACCCCAGGAACAGATCCCTGGGCTCCCGTGGCTGCCTCCACAACACTCCCGGAGCCAGGCTGCCAATGTCAGGGCTGGTGGCCAGTAAGACAGGGATGCTACAAGGTGGGCAGCAGGTGAGGAGGACGGAAAGATAGACAGGAAGAGGCAGCAACACAGAGAGAGGGACAGACAGAGAGACACACAGAAAGACTCGGAAACACACACTGAAGGACACAGAGAGTGACACACACACACACACACACACACGCAGAAAGGTAGAGTCTGAGAGACAGAGAGAGGGACAGAATGAGAGAGAGAAAGGGAGACAGACAGAGACAGAGAGAATTAAGGGCACGACCTACATTCCACTCATTTGCTTCCTAGGAGCAGACAGACAGGCAGGAAGGGACAGGTCAAGATGTGGGCGGAGAGGACAGAGGTGGAGATGAAATAAAGGGAGTCTGAGCATCAATGTCACAGAGAACAAACATTTGCTATCACGTGCTGTGTGCTTAGCACCATGCTGGATGCTGCAGGAAACAAAAAGGGGCAGGTCCGGGTCCCTGCACTAGTTGGGAAATCGACTCCCCCCACCTGGGAAAGGTGAGTAACAGGCAGAGGCTGCCTTTCCAAGGGCCACGTGGGAGGCAGAGGCTCCCTCGAAGCTGAGGTCACCAGGGCGGCTTGGTAACAGTGAAACCAGTAAACAGCCATTGATGATTAGGTAGCTAGTAACTACAGTTTTTTTTGCAATTACTAATTACAGCTTTTAGTTGTACCCCCCGACCCATTGTTAACTGTGCTCCTTAGGCAATATGCTATCTGACTCCCACTAGGTCCTAAAGATAACATCTCCCTGGCGCCTGGGTCACCATGGTAATGGGTGTTTGAGCTGTTTTCTGGAATTAGGACCCTTGTCCAGTTCAGGCCGGTTGAGACCACCAACCCATCAACTGGGCCCGTGCAAATGCTCGACAAGTGACCTTGCTGAAGTCAAGGAGCTAAAACTCCACCCTCAGATCACCCTAACGCCACCATTTTGTGAACACGCGTCCTATGAAGAGGCACGAAGTCTGACTACACTTGCGCAGATCAATTACCTCACCTCTCCTCACCTCCAATCATCTATCTCCACGTTTCAGACCACCTTGCCCCCCATCCCATAAATATCCCTGAGTCCCCATTTTCAGGGAGGCGGGTTTGAGACTCGATCACCCGTTCCCTCACTTGGCTGCCTGGTGATTAAACCCTCTCTCTGCTGCAATCTCATCGTCTCAGTGACTGGCTTTCGGGGAGACTGGCAAAAACGAACTGGGTTCGGTAACAACAGGGCTGCATTTGAGCTGCCTCTTGAAGAGCAGGTGGGAGGAAGTGCACAGGTTTTCAGTGGGGAGGACAGTGCCAGCAAAGGTGTAGAGGTGGGAGAACACATCTGGGTTCAGTTAGGAGGGCCTTGAACGCTGAGCTAAGGAGGCTGAGGGACCCTCCAGTCACATTTGTGCAGAATGATGTAGTGGATGCTGTGCTTTAGGGAGACCTGGGCCAGTCTGTGGCCAGACCTGGAGGGCAGTGGAATAAAATGGAGGAGAGGGTTGCAGGCACCTACTGAGCCCTCCCGCCCCCTCTCCTGACTGCCCCTGCCTGATGCTACATGCCAGCAACCCCAGACTGCTGGCCCACATGAGGCCGCTTCTCACTTCCATGCCCTTGCCCGTGCTCTGCCTGGAAGGCCTTCCCTTCCACAACCCCTATCACTGGCAAACACTGAAACATGGTTTAAACATTTCTCAAGGGTCTTCTCTTCCAGAAAAGGGTAAGGTGCACCCTCTGGTTCCTCCCAGCATGAAAGCCAACATGAAATCTCCCTGGGCTCAGCTGAGTCAAGTCATGTTTTTGACCAAAACCAGAAAATATAATAGGCTCCACCAGGGTTTTGGCCTTACCACACCCAGAATTTGCTTGTCCTCATGGGAAGCCCCACCAGCTAACAGGGCTCAGTATCCAAACCCTGAAGAGAGGAGGGAATGGGCTGGGGAGGGATGGAGTGACAGGGTGGGGCACATTTGCCTAGAGGTGCTTTGGGCTGGCTAGTCAGGGAACAGTGACTCACTCCCCCAGAGTGGAGGGGAGTGGCACTGGGGGACAATCAGGCTGGGCAGGGGAGCCTTTGTGGAGAGAGCCTGCCTGTGCCTGACGTCCTTGGCTGGACCCCAGGAGGCTGGGCTGGGAACTGGACACCGCCTCCTCCTTGTCCCCTCAGGCCCTTGAAATAGAAGAAAGAACCTCCAGAGGACCCCCAGCTCGCCCCCAGAGTGGCCTCGCATTGGCCAGGAAGGTGGCTGCAGCCTCGCTGCCCACGCCCACGGTTGCCCACGCACCCAGGCCGGAGCCATGGATAAATTCCGCATGCTCTTTCAGCACTTCCAGTCCAGCTCGGAGTCGGTGATGAACGGCATCTGCCTGCTGCTGGCCGCGGTCACTGTCAAGCTGTACTCCTCCTTCGACTTCAACTGCCCCTGTCTGGCACGCTACAATGCCCTCTACGGCCTGGGCCTGCTGCTCACACCCCCACTCGCCCTGTTCCTCTGTGGCCTCCTTGCCAATCGGCAGTCTGTGGTGATGATTGAGGAGTGGCGCCGGCCTGCAGGGCACCGGAGGAAGGACCCAGGCATCATCAGGTGCGGTCCCACACCACCCAGCTACCCGTGGGCATGCCAGGGGCTCCCCCACCTACACGGGCACTGCCAGGTGCACCTTCAAACCCTAACCACCCCTGTGGGCATCGTCAGGGGCTCCCTCAACTGCACAGGCACTACCAGGGTACCCCGCAAACCCCAATCCTCCCCTGTGGCCATTGTCAGGGCCTCCTCCACCCATTTACCCCCACAGACACTGCCAAGTGACCCCCAAACCCCAATGACCCCCATGGATATGTCAGGGCTCCCCCTCCACCCCCACAGGCACTATCAGGTGTGTGCCCTCCTTCCCCCAACTAGAGCATCATCAGTTCACAGAGACTCATTTGTCAGTTTCCACTCTGGAAACAGCTATTTCTGTTCCTGTCATTTGTCACCTTTCCGTGGCCAGTGCTGGAGACACACGAATGATACAGGATTCCCAAGAATTACCCAGGTCACATCTGTCATGCTGGCCGTGGATTATAACCCACCACACACATGAAGGCCATCCCATGACATGCGTAGGCAGTTTTTGCATGTAGCGAGAGGCATGATTGGCTTAAAGGCTGCGTCCCTTCTCCTGTAAGCTCCCCGAGGGCAAGGACCTCACCTGTTGCACCGCTGTGTCCTCAGAGCCTTGCCCCTGATTGGTGCCCTAGATAAGGTCAGTCGATGGAGTTTAGCAATTCATAATGATCCCCGGCCGACAGTGGTGCCAAGCTCTGTGCCACGTTCTGTGTGTTCACGGCCTCTTCATTCTCACCTGGGCCCTGGGTCTGCTCCTGTAATGGACCCATTTTTAAGGATGAGGGACCTGAGGCACAGAGAGGTTAGGTAACTTGGCCGAGGTCCCACAGCTAGGAAGATGCTCAGATTCAAACATAAGCGGACTCACAGCCCAGCCTGGAACTGCTGCCCTTAGTGTTTTGGACAAAATATCCAAGTGCTCTAGCTCTGCAGGCAGTGGCAGGAGGGGCTTGGTGGGTTTTGTTCTCCACCCCTCCCCTGTTCTTTGGTATGGACAATTGAGGTGTTCTCACACATATGTAATGTAACTTCATAACAAGGTCTCAGTTCCACCTTCTAACCACATTGCTGCCATAGAAAATGCTGGAGCCATCTCTGTCTACAATGCATTTATAATTCAACACTAGGTAAGCCATGCACACACACAGCATACACCATTTTATGTTTTCTTTACAATCCAAGTTAGAAACAACATCTGCATCCTGTGCATAAGCAGCCTCTGTTTCTCTGTTTCGTGTTCCATGGGGGTTCCATGCTCCCTGTGATTCAGCCACGCAGGGGGGTCACATGCACTGGGTGTGCCCTTTGCCTTCCTCTGGGATCCAGGGCATGCAGCTCCACTGGGCTCCTGTCCTGTGACCAACACCCAATCCAGGCCACTAGAGGGGCCGAGTAGGTCAGGAGAGGCACCTGGGGACCGTCGGAGGGTGGGCTCCCCAGACGCTGGGGGGAGGTGTTTGAGGTGCTGCCGCTGGGAGGGTTATTACACAGAACTGTCTTAGCCTGGGCTGCCCCCAAAAGCAGGCTCTGGGAAGAATGTGATAATGAGCAGGCAGCTGGGGCTCAGTCCTTCTGGGGACCTCTGAGAGGCAGGTAGAACACACCTGAGAATTGTCCCACTGAAGGCCTAGGAAGCTGGGGTGTTTATCCTCCAGGCCCCATCCCTCTTGGTTTGAAGGTTGATCTGGGGGTTGTTAACTCGCCAGCACTTCCAGCCCACCCCTCTGGGAGCAGAGCCTCTTCCCAAGCCCTCAGGCAGAGCCATGAAGGTGGTCGAGGTGGGGGGGTGGGGCCTGCAGTGGGAGCTGCAGCCATTCTTTTGATGTAACCACGCCTGGGATTTCCCAGCTCTCCTGGGAAGTCCATCCTTGCATCTCCCCTGTAGACCTCCTGCTGCAGCTGAATTCTGGCTGCCCTTGGTGACCCCTCCCTTCCTCTGCTCCAGGTATATGTGCTCCTCTGTGCTGCAGAGAGCACTGGCCGCCCCCCTTGTCTGGATCCTGCTGGCCCTCCTTGATGGGAAGTGCTTCGTGTGTGCCTTCAGCAACTCCGTGGACCCCGAGAAGTTTCTGGACTTTGCCAACATGACCCCCAGCCAGGTGCAGCTCTTCCTGGCCAAGGTGCCCTGCAAGGAGGATGAGCTGGTCAGGGACAGCCCCGCGCGAAAGGCAGTCTCTCGCTACCTGCAGTGCCTGTCACAGGTAATCCAGGCCGTCCCCTCCCAGCCCTGAAAAATATCCTGCGTTGGTTCCGAGGGGCGTGGGGTGAGGAGTTACACGTGGTTTCCTGAGGCCCCACCTCACTGCTGGAGACACAACCAGGGGGATCAGGAGCGAGATCCACGTATAGGACAGTGTAGGGCCTTAGGAAGTGGGCACTTTGCCATCAATGCTGACTCGCTCATGGGCAGAGGCCAGGTGCCCATACCCTCCAGGAGTTAGTTAGGCCCATCCCCGGAGGCTGGATGGCAGGAAAGCTCTGGAGATGTACTGCTCTGCCCTGCCCCCACCCCATACACACATTCTTCCCACCCCTCAGAAATAATACCGATTACCACTTACAGAGCTCTTATGTGTCAGGCCTTGTGATAAGCATTTTATATGCATTACTTCCTTTAACTCTCAGAACAACCTTATGAGGTGGAGGCAATCATTATCATCCCATTTTCCAGATAAGGAAACTAAGGCCCCGAAAGTTTAGTTCACAAGGCCAAAGTCACACAACTTGTAAGAAGCAGGGCAGGAATCTGAATATATGCGTCTAAGAATTACTCCAAACCCTCTTAATGACCTCCCTACAAAGCAGGTCCTCCCCAGAGACCTGGCTCCCCACAGGGCACCAAGTCCATTATCCTGGGAGCAAATCCCAGCCCAGACTCCAGATTCCACCACCACCACCACTCCCCGAGCCCCAACCTTGGGCTGTGTCCCCTAAACAGTATTTACATGAACCCACACATGCAGAGGCTCAAGGGGGCTACAGGGAATAAAAACACAACCCCTGCCCTTTGGGGAGCTGAGACAGGCTCACGGCAAATGCAGGCCCGTGGTGCAGCGGACAGAGGACCAGTGCTCAGGAAGCGCTTAATTCTGGGTCAGACTGTGATCTTGGCCACCTCACTCTCCCTCTGGGCCTCATTTTCTCCTGCACATAAAGGGAGGTTTGGTCTCCTCCACCTTGGTGGTCCCTGCGGACTTAAACACTCCAGGCTCTCACCGGTTACACTGGGATGAAGTGGATTTTGCCGTCAGAACACGGTTTGAATCCTGACTCAGCTGTAAGTTATCAGTCACGTTAAATTTAGCAAGTTGTTTGGTCTTCTGCTCCTTGTGTGTAAAATGCTCACACGAGTATTTTCAATTGGTAGGGGGAGGGGGATCCTGTGAGCGGCCAAATGAGAGAGCTTTATAAATCAAGGAAATCCCATCTACAAATGATAAGGATTCAAATACGTCTCTGCTTGTGGTTTAGAGGAGTGACTTCTCTGCTCCAGGTCTGCGCAGTTGCTCTGGTCTTAAGCCAGGCCTTGCAGAGACTATAGCTTTGGATGGGCAGACAGCAGGGAGAAGATCGGCCTGGTATGAGCTCCAGCCTTAGAGAACAATGTCCAGTATCTCGTCACTCTTGGCCTGGAACACTGTTCCCTGTTCCTATCCTGTCTATTATTCATCCTTCAGGTCTCAGCCTAAACCTCACTGTTTGCTGAGCTCTCAAGTTCAGGTTGGGTGTCCCTCCTCTGAATTCCCATGACTTCCCATACATCCCTCAACATGGCACTTAGCAGTCATCACCTATTTAATTTTTCCTCCACTAAAGTGTGAGCTCTATGAGAGCAAGACTGGGTCCTCACTGCCTCCTCCCAAATACAGGATGGACAGATGCACAGATGGGATGGACAAATATGTGTGAGGATGGATGGATGGATGAATGGATGGGAGGGTAGGGAAGGCAAGACTTTACCTCCACCCATCTTAGGTTTTCAGCTGCGACTCTTAACAAAAAGCCAAAATTATAAGAGGAAAACAAACAGTTTATTAATGTGTGCAGTGCACATCACACAGGAGAAACCTAAACCAAACAGTAATTCAAAGTGGTGGCTTAGAATTCGGCTTCTGTAGCATCTTCAACAAAGAGCAATACCTTTGTAGAGAAATGGCAGGACAAAGGAAAGCAGTTTTAGGCTTCTAAGGGTGGAAACTGTGGGAAGGTAAACACATGGGAGGAAACTAATGGAGTAAGGATTGTTTGACGATTCCTCTGGCGCCTCTCTAGGCTGAGTCTGTCTCCAATAAAAGGAGAATTTACATCCTGCCTTTAGCAGAAAAGGGGAGGGTAGAGAGAGCTTTTCCTATCTTTGTTGCTTCTTGTCTTCAGCTCAAGATAATTCTTATATTAAAGAGGCACACTTTAGGTTGACATATTCTGGTTTCCTTCAGAAGGAAGGTTGGAAGGATGGATGGGTGGGTGAATGGATGGTTGGAGAAATAAATGGATGGAAAGATGAGAGTATGAGAAGATGAATGCATGGGAGAGTAGATGGCTGGATAGGAGGATAGATGATGGGCAAATGGAAGGATGGTTGGGAGGATGCCTGCATAGGAAGATGATAGATATACAGTCAGATGAGACATTGGATGACTGGATGGATGGGTGGAGAGAGAGTTGGATAGACGAATGGATGCGAGGATGAGAGAATGAATGGAAGGGAGGATGGATGGAGGTGGTCGGTAGGATGGATGACTAAATGGGAAGATGAATAAATCTGAGGAAGGATGGGAGGGATAAATAAAGGGAAAGACTCTAGAATACCCCTGCCACACCGTACAGCACCAGAGCCCCACCCACACCCTACCTCGTGCTCCCCATCCTCCAGGCCATCGGCTGGAGCATCACCCTGCTGCTGATCGTTGTGGCCTTCCTGGCTCGCTGCCTGAGGCCCTGCTTCGACCAGACAGTCTTCCTGCAGCGCAGATACTGGAGCAACTACGTGGACCTGGAGCAGAAGCTCTTCGACGAGACGTGCTGCGAGCATGCGCGGGACTTCGCGCACCGCTGCGTGCTGCACTTCTTCGCCAGCATGCAGAGCGAGATGCAGGCGCGGGGGCTGCACCGGGACACCGCGAGCAGGGGCCCCAAGTCCCGCGAGGTGCGCGAGCCCCCCGAGGCCGTGGACGGCGGAAGCCGGAAGGCCCACCTGCGCGTAGTCTCCAGTAGGGAACAGGTGGACCGCCTCCTGAGCACCTGGTACTCCAGCAAACCGCCACTCGACCTTGTGGCATCCGCTGGGCTATGGGGGGGCGGCCTCAGCCACCGCGCCCCCATGGTGGCCCCAGGCACCAGGCTATCCCAGCACACCGATGTGTAGGGACCCCGGCAGTGTCCCCACGTGACATGCCCCTGCTGACAAGGGTCTGGGGCCTTTCCAGGATGTGAGGACCCAAGGCAAGGCAACCTAACCCTTGTTGGCCTCCTTTCCCCAAAATAGCCCAATCTCTGACCTAGTTTCTGGGCGTGGCCTCCTGTGTGCTCTAAAGCAGTGCTTCACAAACTTGAAAGTGCTCACCGTTCACTTGGGCTCTTCTTAATGCAGATTCTGATTCTGTGTATCCAGGACTGGGTCTGAGACTGCAATTCTAATAAGCTCCCAGATGATACTGATGCCTCTGGTCAGTGGACCAAACTTTGAGTAGCAAGAGTCTAAATAGGTCTGCCATGGGTTCTGGGTCCTAGATGTCCAGATTCTAAATTAAAAATAATACAATAATGACAACAACACATGCTTATAAGGTGCTTACTGTGTGCCAGGCAGTGTTCTGGAGTCTGTTAGTCTGCCCTCTAGATAGTTTGTGTATTTGTTTTAAATGCTCTGCTTGGGTTTCCTGCAGCTTCCAAGGTTCTCTGAGTAAGCTCTGCTTGTTGAGTTCCTCTTGAAAGTACTAATTAGTGCCTCTTGCTGTCTACTGCAGATGAATGGTTTTCTATTTTCCTGTTGAGGGGATTCTTCTGTTTTTGAATGTCAAGGGGGCTGACTCTTCCAGCTCCCATCTTCCGGAGTCCCACCAATTCTGTTTCCAGCCAGCCAAGGCTGAGTGGCACTGCCTGGTGCAGCCTCTTTCTAGATGCAGCTCCTTTCTCAGCCCAGCCTTCTGCTCACCTCCAGCTATCAGCGCTGCCTCCCTCACCTCTCCACTCACCACCATCCCCACCACCTGCAACCTGAGCCCTGAGCTCAGCATCTCTTCCTAAGGCTGCCTCCTTCCCCAGGCATCCCAGAGAGTATCTACGCCCTGCCCTCAGCAAGAAGCTGGCACCCTGGTGAGGATTTTCCCGGGCATATGGTGTATGGGCTAGATCTGCAAATCAGGGTGGGGGCAGATCTGGACGTCTCCACGCTGAACAAGCACCCGAGGTGATTTTATAAGCTCCAATGTTTAAGGACCTCTGGGCCAAGTGTGGGGATGGGGTCTGGCTCAGGAACGAAAACCCTTGAAACACCAGGGTTAAGTCTTGCTGGAAAAACTCCCACTCGATCTCTGGCGGCCCAAACAGGAAGCGTTGGGGAAGATCTAGTCGGTGAGTTCCTCTGGGCCTCCGCCGCTCCCTGATGACTCAGTCACTCACCACACACACACACACACACACACACACACTCACACACACTCACACATACATACACATCCTGCTGTTGCCTTCATCTGCACAGATGGTGACCACAGACATGCAGGCCTCGGTTCACCCCATGCTTTTCTGGGCCTCAGGGCCTGGGGTGGGACAGGGAACAGTGCAGGGGCCCCTGGATGCGCCCTGGAGCCGGCCCCTCCATATCGGGTAATCTCTGCTCTCCTGGGCTCTTACCAAGTGCAGCTCAGCCTCCCCCCATCTACCTTGCTGTGGTCAGGCCATGCAAATGTCTGAAATGGCACTGGGGCGGGGCGAAATTTAGGCAAAGTGTTAGCAGGGATTGGGGGGGAGGGAGGAGGGAGACCTCAGAGGTGGCCCAGTCAGCACGGGTGAACTCCCAGCCTGGGGAATGGAGGCTCAGGGACCCCACTTTGGGCTGCAAGGAAGCAGCATAGGGGCCAGTAAAAATCCACTGACTGCAATCAATAGGCTAGCCTTCTTCTACTGAACGCCTATAGAGCACCTACTGCGTAGAAAGCACTGTGCCAGGTGTGGATGCAAGCGAATAACCATTCTATAGATAAGAGAGAGAAGGTGAGTTTTACTTGAGCCAGGGTGATGATTGTAATCCAGGAAGGCAGTTTCCACAAAGGAAAAAAGCATTCTGGAGAAGCATGGTTTTCAGTGCAGTCTTATACCTTTTTAGAACAAAGAACATAAGCACACCCAGGATACATTTTCATCAAAGTTTCAAAGGGGTATTCAGTTGCAAATTAGCAGGTCAACGCGACCCTGAGGTCAGGAAAGGGACTAATACCAGTGTTAACAATAGGGCGTAGGAGAGAAAGTATGCATTCTCGTCTTGAGAGAGTGCATTCTTTACTGGTTAAAGCAGATGTACAGTGTATGTTTGATAGGACATAAGTCAGGCTTCTTTAGTTCAAGTTGAATCAGTTTTAAACCAGAAGTTACCCCATATACCTCAATATGTGAAAATCTCTTGTCCCAGGGAATAGGGAAGAGAGAGCACAGAGATGATGCGCCCACCCTCAAGCAGCTCACTGTCTAATAGAGGGACAGAGATGGGTACAGAAATAGTTATAATCCAAAGCTAAAGGTGTAAGGGATATAGTATAGGCAAGCCACGTACCACAGAGATTTAGCATGGAGAATAATGGCTCCAGGCTGGGGAACCAGGGAAGCCTTCTTTATGAATGGGTCTTGAAGGATGGGGAGTGTTTTAACAAGTGGAGGGAGAGATGGGGGTGGGGGGCAGAGCACCTTAAGGGAAGAAACAGCAAGAACAAAGGCATAGAGTTGGGAAAGGGGCAGCGCATGTTTCATTTATTCCTTCAACAAATATTGATGGAATGCCTAGAGTGTCAGGGAGCAGGACAGACATAGTCCTGTCTTAGTGGAATGTCCAGTGTCCAGGGGAGATAGGACATGAGCTAGTGAGCAAACAAGCAAGTGGAGAGGTGCACGGTCCAGCCTGGAAAAGTAAAAGACCTTGGCCAGAGGGCTGAGGAACCCGCTCCAAATGAGTCCCACCAAGAGATGCTCCCTGATCCGTGCATCTAGTGACACATTCTCAGGACTCTCTGCTGTTGACAGCTCTCAAATGTGTCCCCACCCTCTTCAGTCCCCAAATGATGTGGTTTCAACCCCCCAAACCTCTTTGCCATCGTCCACCCATACCACTATTCATTCACGTGCCATGAGAGGGAGATGCTGATACCAGCTCAATACAGGGTTGACATAAGGGAAGCCATATTGTAGAGGGGAAACCATGTTGTGACTTGGAATGACCTCTGACTAACTCTGGACTTTATGGCCCCTCCCAGCTGCTATAAGTTGATAACTTTGTTCTTTTGAGTTCCTTAGGAATGTGATGACCCCCGGGCAGAGACTCTATGATGATAGCCATCATCAATGCCAACTGAAAGATCAGAGTATAGGGCGTTGCTCCAGTCTCTGATGCATATCAAGTGAAACAAAAGACTGCCAGGAACTAAGATGCGCCACCCCCCCCCCCAGACCAGATGCCTCCACCCAGTAATCAGATGGATGCCCCCACCGTGGGACCAGATGCCTCCCCTACCCGGAGACCAGCCCTCTATATAACTGGCCTGTAGTCTTTGTTCTATAAGATGGTTCTTTGAGACATTAGTCGGCCATCTTCCCCCTTGCTAGCAAGCTGTAATAAACTGCCCTTTCTTTTCTACCATCTTGCCTCTTGACGATTGGCTTTTGTCTCACAGAGAGCAGATCATGCCCTTTGTGCAGTAACAGTGCCTGGAGCAACACACGCCACCCCATCTGGCAGTGAGAGACACAGGTGGGAGGCTTCCACCTGCTCCTAAATACCCTCCCCTCCCAAGAGAGCAGCTGTGCATTGCCAAGCTCACTCCCCAAGTCTCAGCCAACTCTGGGTGATAGCCCCCCTGACCCCACCTACACATAGGGCCTCTTTTGTGAGAGACAGTGGGAGCTGGACAAGGCAGAAGTGTACTGGAAGTGTGGCTTTGGCTGTGTAAGTCCCCCGTCTCATACAGCCTGGGCAGCTGCAGTTCTGCATGAGAAGGGGAAGATGGCAGGAGCCTTGAGGGTTTAGCTCAAGACTTTGACTTTATCCTGCAATTGGAGTGAGAGGAAAGTGCTTGCAGGCAAGGTCAGGAGGAGGGGTGATACTTGGGGTTCATCCACATGACAGTGATGCCTGAAGCTGCAGGAATGGATAGGGCCAGCAAGAGAGAGGCTTGAGGGAGAAGAGGAAGGACCAAGACCTTTAGACTTTTGGAGGAGCAAGAGGAGCAATCACAGAGGCGAAGAGCCCAGAAGAATGCCAGGGAGGAGTGAATTTCAAGATGGGGGAAGGATGAGCAATAAATCCAGAGCTTCAGAGAGACCCAGGAGGGGGAGGACTGAGAGAGAATCATTGCTTATTGGCAACTGCCCAGGGAGGTAGTCCCAGCGAAGCAGATGGGTGGGTTTCTGTAGGATTCATATAAATCCCTGGGCACCTGCCCCACCCAGGGTTATAAAGGAAGGGTGGGAGGTTTGGAACCTGCCGCAATTTAGGATATTGATGTGGGAGGGACCTTCAGCATCCCTGTACAAGGAAGGGCACCAGGACCCAAAGACTACAAGGGGAGCAGAGGACTCTTGTCTACACTAACATGCCTCCACTTCTAGGGTCTTGTAGAAGATGAGGGAGTCCTCTCAGCTCTGCCCAACCCTTTGAGGCCAAATGAAATGACCTTTCTTTGCCTCTGCTTGATCCCCCTCTGGCAGGGGGAGGGCAGAGGGGGCTGTATGAGGGGGAAAGTACCCCTGAGGGTCTAAAGAAGAGCAATGGGAGATGGTCTGGGGTGGCAAATGGTAGCAGAGCAGAGTGACACTGGTGTGCTGGTGGCTGTTCCCATGGCAGTGAGCTTTCCATGAGCACCAGCCCTTCCTGCCCACCCTTCCCACCCACCCACCTTCACCTAAAGGAGGAACTGCTCTTATCCCTCCCCACTCTGCTCACGGAACCTAACCCTGGAGGCAAGCCGAGAGCCAGGGTGGCGAGGACTGTCTCCTATTTGTGACTGAGTTCCTGTGTCCTCACACATTTATCTTGGTCCAAGGCTCTCTTTTCTCCTTTATTCACTTATTCATGTATTCATCCACTCAGCACTTACTCACTGAGCATCTACTAAACCAGGCACACTGTGGGGCCGGCCCTGTGGCTTAGCGGTTAAGTGTGCGCGCTCCGCTACTGGCGGCCCAGGTTCGGATCCCGGGCGCGCACCGATGCACTGCTTCTCCGGCCATGCTGAGGCCACGTCCCACATACAGCAACTAGAAGGATGTGCAACTATGACATACAACTATCTACTGGGGCTTTGGGGAAAAAAAGGAGGAGGCTTGGCAATAGATGTTAGCTCAGAGCCGGTCTTCCTCAGCAAAAAGAGGAGGATTGGCATGGATGTTAGCTCGGGGCTGATCTTCCTCACAAAAATAAAAAAATTTAAAAATAAACCAGGCACACTATACTGAGCACTGGGAACATAGCAGTGAACAAAACAGATGGGGACCTTCAGCTCTTGTCGTCCAACAGGAGCCCCAGATATTAAACAAACACACC